AAAAATAATAATTAGGATGCAAATAAAGAAACACATTTTTGTATGAAATTTCATTAAAGGTCATTTTTTTATTATTCATTTAGTCTTGATCAAAAGTTAAAAAAAAGCCAACACCCTCACCTTTATCACTTGCATTGAAACAGGCACAACATCTAAAAACTAGGGGTGCACCGAATGGGAAATTCTTGGCCGAAACCGATACCGAAAATAGGAAACAGTTGGCGGAATGCCGAAAGGCCGAAAATGATTAATATATATATATATATATATATATTGTATACATTTTTTTACCAATGTTGTTCAGCTACCTGATTATGGAAAAAGACATGATTATGGCAAAACTTAACTTAAATAATAAAACATTTATTCAGCACTTTTGAATGCATACAGTACATTAATTCCAAGTCAAGTGCATTTTCTTTTCTCTGTAGGATAACTACAACAAAGTGCATTCAGAACAAAGCCAAGGTGCTTTAAAACTGCATAAACATCTAGGCCAGTAGGCCTACAACAAAATAGTGTAAATAAAGACTGTAACAGCCAGGCCTTCAACAACAACAAATGCACCTATACGTTTGGTACGTGTTGTTGTGATGACGTAATCAAAACGCGGCGACAAGCACGGCGCGCGACCATGCTCGCGGCTGGCTCACAGCCAACATGTCTGCCGCTTGGAGATATTTGAAAATATCAGAGAGAGAGGCGCGGATTGCGATTTGTAAAACGTGTTCAGCTGACATTTCTCGAGGGGGTGTAACTGCAAAGACTATCACCACTTCGGGATTACTCCACCACTTGAAATCAAAACACCCGGACAAATATGCGGAGTATGATCAACGTAACCCTGTTCTCTGACATTCGGTCGAAAAGGGCCTTTTTAACCATTTTCGGCCGATAATTTTCGGTGGCCGAATATTCGGTGCATCCCTATTAAATAGCCTATATGCCCAACATATACAAGTTAGCATCCCGCAGTTTCCATGTGCTGGGGACCCACTACTTTACATTTCTATCATACATTTTGGCGTACTCAACATTTCCGGGTTCACATTGCTGGAAACTAGACTATGACCAGACCCCGACGTTCCAATGTTGACCCTGTGGTGACCTGTCCCAGGTGGGCCAGTACCTGAACACGCTCAGGGCGGAGTTCCCGCAGCAGTACCCTCAGGAGAGGCAGAAGTGGGAGAAGAAGGAAGGGCTGGTGCGGAGAAACCAGGCGGAGCTCCAGGGACGCTTCCAGGAGGTTCTGCAGCAGCTGCAGCAGGGCCGGGAGCTAGAGACCCTCCCCAGGATCAACGTGCCGTCACTGCCCCAGGTCCCTATGGTAAGACAACCCCCACCAAAAGGATATCTGTAAGGGGAGATATATTTATACTCAAGGTGGAGAGCCGCTCTTCTTTAAAGTGTTGGTCCCTCGGGTCAGAGTTTAAATGTTTACTGAATGACTCACTATTTCAATTGTATTTGTATGTTGCATTGTTGGAGGAGCCTGTGACTTCAGTTTGTCATTGCCATATCTACACTGTAGCTAATGTGCACATGGCAGTAAAGCCTTGAATCTTGACTTATAGCTAACTCTTATTTCTTCCTGCAGGCTGAGCTGAGATTTAACCAGGTGATGCAGTCCCTGGTCCGCCCCCAGTTCATGCCCCCTCCTCCTCCAATCCCAGTGATTCGACCCTTCCCTCCCCAGAGACACCCACACTTTTACCAGCAACCGTTCCAACTTCCTCCCCATCCCCAGTTCCGCCACCGCTACAACCACCCCCCACCCCCACACCAGTTCCAGCCTTCCCTCCCACCCATGCACCAGCCTGTCTACCTGCCCCCGCCTCACTTCCAGCCCCACATCAGAGCTCAGATGAGGGTGACCCCCCCTCCCAGTCTCTCTCCGTCCCCTCCCGTTCAGCCTGTCCATCCTGCAGTTCCATCCCCGCCTCCCCCCGGCGCCGCTGCCACCTCCGCCCCCGCCGGTAAACTCGACAAGGTCCTCGAGAAGCTTGGGGCTCGCTACCCACAATGCAACAGGGCTCAGCTGACGTCGCTGCTCCAACAGGTGAAGAGCTCCCGCGGCACGCTGGCCGGCATGTCCATGGAAGAGGTCATCGAGCAGGTGGGCTTCAAGCTGGTGCAGAACGAGAGGTCGGCCCCGGGGCCCATCAGCCGGCCCGCACCCCCGGGCCCCATCCAGAGGCCGACACCCCCCCCGCAGAGAGCGGCAGAGGAGGGTCAGGCTGCCGGGCCTCTGAAGCCCTGCCTGGTGTGCCAGAACCACGTGGACCCAGAGAGCCGGCACCCCCTGGGCTGCAGCCACACCATCCACAGAGACTGCATCCGGGTGTGGCTGCAGTCCAGCAAGAACAACTCCTGCCCCTTCTGCCCCGGGAAGTGACGGAGAAACACTTAAAAACATTCCAAAAATAAGCTTTTAATGTCCAACAGATGTCTTTTTCTAGGGTACAAGCTGCAAATAAGTTAATTAAAAAATTTAATTTATCATGTGACTGCGACGTTGTTTGAAAATTGATATTCTTTTCAATATTTTTGTTTTAATGATTAACAATACGAATCTTCTCAATGTTTCACTGCCATGTTGTTATTATCATGCAGCTAAACAAGAAGTTTGCCAAAATAAAGTTGTCTGATATTGAATAAGTTGCAATTCTGATTGGTTTATTTATGATGAAAGAATAAATAAAAATGTAATCTCTTAATACTCAACCATTTTTGTGAATGTAAGCGTGGAGGTTTTTTATCCAGGCTTAACTATGACAAGTTGATTTATAATGCTATCATGTTTATCACATTTATCTTGTGCAGTACTGGATTCTAACTTACCAGTGGTGTAAAGTAACTAAGTACAACACTTCACAAGCTACCCTGCAGTATACAAACTCATTCAAACTAGCTGCACCTCTACCAGCTTTGAGAACACTTTAATGATCAATCATTATAAAACATATCATATATATTATTCTGAAATGGACCAATCTGCACAATGACTACTTTTACTGTCGCTACTTTCACTATATTTTGATGATAATACTTTTCTACTTTTACTTGAGGAACATTTTGAATGCAGGATTTTTACTTTAACCGAGTATTCCTACACTCTGGTGCTTCTACTCAAGCACAAGATGTGAGTACTTCTTCCACTCTGTACACTCACTCAAGGGGCCCTTCTCAATTCTCTTATTTTTCATTTCCTCACTCCCGGTCTCACCGGAAGTTGATTTGTCTGCGCCATCTTGAGTAGCGTCCCAATATCCTGATTTTTGTCGGAGGATCGAGGAGCGATAATGGAGGAGCTATAATCGAGGAACCACCAGACCATCCTCCGATGAAATCCTCAGACACTCGCCCCGCCCCCTTACTGTGTATCGCTCACTGATTGGACGATGCAGTGCATGCACTGATGTGATGCTTCTTGACATGAGAGCAGTTTCCCAGCGGAGTGAAAAAATATATGAAACTCACGAGGAGTCCCTCCTCCAGTTTTATACCGTATTTGTTTCAATTAATGTATCATTTAAGTTACAAATGTGATATATCTGAACAACAAAGTGGTCAAAATCATGGTTTATTCATTTTTTGGAAACATTTTCATGATCGTTTTTTTCGTTTTAAAGATTTTCAATTTATTGTCCCCTTTCCATTCAGTCAGTCATTAAGCGCTATTTAAACATGTATAATGTGCTACATATCCAAACAACAAAAAAGTGTGCAATCCAATGAATGTTAATCTAACTGGGTTTTGATATATAACATATTGTAGTGTACATCAAAGCCGACCTATGCTGACAAGTAAGTGAAGAGTAGAAAAATATAAGGTATGGCTATAGGAAAAATGTCCCAACAATTATAGGATAATGAAGGTTTCTAATCAAATGCTATTACATAAGCCATTACATTTCTAAATCTAATGGACAGGAAGGCAGAAGGGCGATTATAAAATAATAATAACTCATAATAAACAGCCAGACATTTTTTAACAATGACCGAATATCATTTATTTTAATAAACCAAATATGATCAATTGAGGAAAATGAGGACAGAACTGATGATCCAAATGTTGTAGTACAAGTATAATGTAGTTTAGTGCATAAATTACTATTGCAACAAATGTGTTATCTTTTTCATTATAAGTCGATTTTTTTTTGAACGAATGCTCGGGCCAGTGATAATTACAATTCCACCGTCCGGAGGGCCAGTGGCTTTTTACCCTTATGTCTAACCCTGCCATGCCAGACGAACTTCACGGCCCACCCAAAGCGCACCGAAGGCTAACGCCGGGGTGGACAGTCCGTGCACCGCCTCGAACACAGGCGTTCAGCTGGCCGGCACGACTGGCCACGACAGGCCGTGGAGACGTCACCCACAGGAGGGTAACGCCCGCGTTCACCGAACACCACGTCCTCCAAGCGCAGCCCCGCGCCCTCCACCTTCAGAGCCTGGACGCCGGGATCTGTGACCTGGTCCGCCGCCATGCGAGTATAGTCAGGCCAACTGGCCGCACGATGGACGACTCTGGGAGAGGCAAGTCAGCCAATCAGGTTCGAGCTTGCCGCCCACGTGCTTAATGTCGTTAGTGAACTCCGATATGTAGGACGCTGCGCTGCTGACGTGCCGACCAAGCTCCGCCACTTTTGACATGGCGAAGGTGAGCGGCTTGTGGTCGACAAACTTCCAGCATGAAACGGAAGTGCCGCACGGCCAATAAAAGTCCAAGGAGCTCTCGGTCAAAGGCGCATGTACCTGCATTCTCTGGGCGTCAGCTGGGCCGGTTGAAAAAAGGCGAGCGGCTGCCAAGCGCCCTCCACTAGGCTTGGGCCGGTATCATTTTTTTCATACCGTCATACCTTGTCTGACATCATACCGTGGGTATACTGGTATAATGACGGTATGATGATTGGGTCGATTTGAGCGAGCGGTGCGTTCGCGGGAAATAGATGTTTCGAACGGTATATTATATGTTCGGTGTAAAATTGCAGCCCGGGCAGTACGCAGTAGACGCTCGCAAAGTGCCGCGACGTGCGCGCAAGTGCAAAACAAAGGCTCGGCATACATGACACACATTGCTTGCAAATGGCACATTTTGAGATCGAGATACAGGACGGCGTTTGTAGGATGCCCGACCTTTGTTCCATTTTGAGCTAAGTTAACAATATATCATCATACATAAACATTTTTCCGGGAGTAAATACTTGATCTATTGAATACATTTTGCTATATTTCACTAACTAGGTTTGGCAATATTGTTCCGTGCATGTGTAAAAAGACCTTATTTCCATTTTTGATTCATTGGATTACTCGCCGTGAATGTTTTAGCACGTATATATGCTTTCGTTTTTAAAACCTGTCCGACTTCGACTACAAAACCCATCAACCAGTGTGGGCATAGGATTAAAAAATGTCAACACTCACTCACCCCGTCTTAAAATATTCCGCAAAGACAGGAAGTGGCCTCTGTCTCTGCGTTGTGTTGCTGGATGAAGTCACTGGCGACGAGTTAAACCCAATAATCTAGTTTCCCAAACAGGGCGCCAGAGGCCATTTTTTTTCTTTACTAGTTGTCGGAGTTCGGGGCCGGCAAATGCTGCCGCCCATCTGCTCAGCTCAGCTCTGTGCTGAGCTTGCTGAAGCGGGGAAAGTACGGACTGCCCTCCCCTGCCCTTTGCTGGGCGCTGTGCTGTGCATTACAACCAATTGTCGTCCCTGTCAAGACTCTGTGTCAGTGTAATAGAATGAACACCGCATCTGTGATTTGGCGCACAGTCTGTGACGTCACGGTTTGAAAATCCATACACGACGGGGATTCGAAATACCGCTGCGTATACCGTGTAATAGCCGTCATCACCGACGCCAAGCCTACCTCCACCCACTGCCTCGTGCACCGCGCGACGCGCGAGGAGTCCGACCTGCGTCCGTTGTGATGGAGATGGGAGCCGCAGACTGATGGGTGTGCCCCAGCAAAGACCGCCTGAGGGCGCAACGCGGTTTTAACCTCAGCAAAAGGCAACGTCACGGCCTCTGAGCGTCCGGAGTCGATCGCCTGGACGGGGTCTTGCCTTTCAGACGCCTTTCATACAGCGGGGCGGCCGCATGATGTTGGTGCGGCCCGGCGATGAAACGGGTGCGGTAGGAAGGGTCCACCATCCACAGAAACCAGGGGCGACCGGGGGCGCTGTGACGCGGCGAGGAAAAGCGAACAGCCATCCACCTTCGCCGGCGAGTGGTTTCAGCCACCGCCCTCGCGCGGGGTGCCCCAGAAAAATCCACATGTAGACACCCCGAACTGGCACTTTGCAGGATGATGATTAATCCGTGACCGCTGGTGAGAAAGGGGTCGGAGTGGAACCAGGGTGCTGCACTGAAGCGCTGGCGCGAGGGTATGTCGTAGAGGTAGACAGAAACGAAACGGCAGGTCCCGCAGGAGGAATCCATCAGGCGGCTGGAACGTCTGAGCGGCATTCTTGAGTCCCAAGAAGGCATCCGCAGGAACTCAAAAAAGTTCCCAAATGCGGTTGAGTCATGCTTCGTTTGGGGAATGTTTCGCAGGGGTGGTTGGCAATGGGCATTTTGTGGTATGCCACTCTACCAGGGTCACCCATGAAAACTCCTGCACGTACGCCAGAGTGCGCCGAAAAGTCTGGCTAATGTGCTTGGCCTGCACAGATACGCATCAGCGTCAAGTGGCGGTCGTTGGAGTCGGCGGATAATCCGCGCGACGCAACCGCCGTTGCGGTTTGTTGTGGGGACGACGTCAAGTGGGGGAAGGGCCAAGGGACTGTCGGAGTGGCGGGGGGACAAATGCCAGGCGGCTCCATGGTTGCGAAGACTCCGCACCTCGCTTACAGCCAGCTTAGAAGGGATTCCAACCGCCGGTCCCTAGTGTGAACAGGGACCCCTCGGGTCAGTGGACGTGGTGCTCCACGCCATGCTTAGCGGTAAGCGCAGAGAAGGGTGGGCAAGGCGGACCGAGGTCTGGAAACTCGGGCCAACCAGTGGCTGAGAAAACGTGTCCCGGACAGCGGATGGCCCCGACCAGGCCGTCATACGCGTGCTGACTGCCAAGTATGCACACGAGGGGAAGAAAACGTTTAAGGGGCATCAACCAAACGGCTTTCTGTAACGTCCACTAAGGAGTCCATGAGTTACACAAACAAAATCGTGCTCCGGAGGGAGGGGAAAAGTAAATGTCCCGCTCTCACAAAAATCCCAGCTTAAACGCCTGTCCTCCGGATGCCACAAACACGGGGTAGTAGGCCTCACCGCCGTACGTCTTTTAGAAACTGCACGTCGCCCGGCCCCCGGGCCCCCGCGTTGTGCGCAATGCGGACCGCCGTTGCCCGTCTCAATCCCGTGCCCGGGTCATGGCCACCCTACGTGGACGTTCTTCCTCGAGCTGACTTACCGCTCCGTTGAGCTCCCGTGTGCACACAGAGTCCGTGTCACCGCGAAAGCGCTGTCGGCTGACGGAAGAGAGAGGCACCGTCTGCCCGTGCCGCCGACCTCCAGGGCCACTACTGAGGCCCCTCCGTTTCCCGGGTTTTACGCACGGAGGCGATGATTGTCTTCGCGCTGTTGTCCGAAATGTTGCGTTAAAGACTTCTGGCGGGTGTCTCCACGGCCCGATACAGCCGCCTGTCCGC